CGACGTTTTGGCCACAACGCAAGCAGCCATTCAGACGCTGTCTTTCCGACAGACCTGTTCTTCACCTGAGGATGGCTGCTTGTATTGTGGCCGAAACGTCGTGAGAATTATTTTATTATGTTTTATTTTTATTATTTCCCTTCTACGTGACTTTACCGAAAGAACCAAGAAGATGAATCCCTGCAGTCACGAAATGCTTTAAATCGAAACGATATTGTCAGTTACGCTATTCCCGGCGCAAACTACATCCCAAGCTGAAGGTACCCCGCCAATTTGTTTGCTGATGTTTTCTGGGTTCATGTATCGGGCACTGTCGCGTGCTGCGGGGAGAGCATATGCCCATCTATGAAGGAACACGGCCACAAGCATTTGCCCAGACAAAATTAGAAACGTTGCTTTCGTGAAAATAAGAGTAAACAGCTCCAATAGCCGTAATCGTTTCTAAAATGTAACACATCTGCTGTAAAGTTTGAGGGTTTCCACCCTTTATCGTCTCAGCAGAGGCCCAATATTTACGGCATTCTCGCAAAAGGCCTGCGCACCTGAGCGAGGCAAACGCCACGGAGGGCAGGCGAGCACTCCTTTGTAGGCGAGCCAAGGGGCATAAATCCGCCGTCGTAATAAACGCACAATTTTCAGTTCCGCTGGTAAATGTGTCAATACCGCCTTGTTTCCCAAAGAGCCCCGAAATGATTTTCACATGTCTGGCTCTGGCAGCGCACACGCGGCCACCCGTGTGACATTTTACGGACACTTGCCCACGGCTGTAAAAGTCCTGCAGGGCTCCCGATCACCTTTAAAGAGGTTTTTTAATTTTTTTTCGTGACGACTGCACGGGCTGGAATAGTGTGGCTGGCGGATGACAGTCCGCAAACCAGCCCCAACACCTGCACGACACTATCCCCAACGACACCCGCAAACTACACCACGCGTCGAAGAGGAATGATGATTTTTTTTTTCTCCACCACCCTCAACATCCACAAAACATTGGCAGAAATATTCCGTGGGCACGCGCGCGCGCGAGCGCGAGCGCTTCCACGCCGTTTCCAGTTACCGGGGACAAATTAAGGTTGACGGATTAAGAGAGCATAACATTTATGGGCATTTAATAAAGGGTAAGAGATTCCACTGCGACCATGTGTAAACTGCGGTTATGATCAAAATTATCCTCTCAAGGGCGACGTCACGATTTCTGCGGAGTTACTAAATCATGCCGTGTAACGTTAAAGTTTTACCCGGTTTAAAAAAGAAAAAAAAACCCACAGGCACATGGGTTTTCCAGAGGTTTCAACACAGGTGCAGCTTTTGAAGTGTATAAAGACCCCCGTACAGAGTCTGTGCTTCAAATTACTTTATTGCAATTTTATGTTGCAAAGAAAAGTATTAAATTCCTTGAAAGTGCCCATACTGTTTTAACCTGCTGCATAAAACAGAACTTGCATTTTTCTCCAAAATTGCAGCATCCATCTTAGGGTTGAGGTTTAACACTATTAACTGCGGGCCTCACAGAGTGTAAAATGTAAACATGTGGGACAGTGAATGAACCATTAATCATTGTTATTGCAAAGTCCTGAAAATCTTTTCATCAAAAAAAATGTTCTTCGTTACATTTACAGTGTGTGTGTGCTATTTGAATCTTTTCCAGATATATAATCTGTAGTTACGTTATACAATTACAAAAACGAGAGAAATGAACAGACGTTCAAATATAAATCAAATTTGTTTTCAACAGAAGATGTAAAATATTCATTAGAGGAGGAAATTACATTCTACCAATTTTAATGTCCTGAGTGTAAGGTAACGCTAATTTGATCGTTTTTTTAATGTAATTTTCTCGTGAAAAATTGGCCCGGCCCGGTACTCATAATCGAAAAAGAAAGTGAAACTTCAGCAGGTATGAGTAACGTAAAATATGAAGAGGCACACGTAACATTTTTTTCTCTCTCCCAACTATGAGAACATAATTGTCTGTCCATTAAATGTCAAACAATAACATAACCGAGTATAACATTGCAACTCAAGTTTATCGTTCGCATTCAATTGTCTACTGTGAATTGGCATGCGGTTACAGTTCAGTTCCATGTTCTGTTCAGTCCTCCACGTCTTTCCTTCATTAACTTTACCAGCCGCTGCCAACACGCATTTCAATTAACTACACAGAGCACCACCTGGCTAGTGTAATGTTAGACACACAGCTAGGATATACACACTCACACACACTTGGAAGTTAAAGCAACATACGCCAATGCAACTGAGAAATATGAACGTGCTTGTTCGAACGATTCAGATATGCGCAGTGAAAATGGCATGGTCTTTAATTATCTCTGTTCTGACTGGCTGCTCTGTTTAATATGACGACGAATAATTTGTGCACTGTTTTTACAAACATATTTATAGCCCTTTGCCAATCCAGTGCTAGATGGTCTCCTCGGAGGGTTTCCACGCTGGTCAGTACGAGTAGGTGAACGTGAGAGGGGTTTCCAAGGACAGGTTCAGATTTGACTCACCACTGATGCCAGCCACGGCCGGGTATTAAACTCAGGTCACCAGGTTCATGGAGCAGTGCGCTAAGCACTGCACCACCGCTCCCCGCTCAAAACGTATGCGTACCTCAAAGTGCATTCCAGCCTGGCACAAGCGCTGTGGTGACATCACCGTCACTTCGCCGTGAACGGAGGCTGTTGATGTTGTTGTACCCATAATTAAATCACGTTAAATATACGTAAAATAAATCCGTGAACAGCAAACGATTGAATTCACTTACTCGGCGTGTATCTCCGTGCGATCACTCGTGATGCGTGAACACCACAACATCATTTCTCGATTAGAAGTTTTCGTGACTGCAAGGATTCAGGTTTTTTCGGTAAAGTCACATAGGTAAAAAATTAAAATAAATTAAATCACGACGTTTCGGGCGCAACACAAGCGTCCTTCTTCAGGTGGGGGACAACTTAGCGAAAGCACACCGCTTAGCACACCGCTTAAGTTTATTTAATTTTTTACCTACGTGACTTTACCGAAAAAAACAAAGTGAACACCACAAACATCGCCGCACCTTGAGATTCGTTTTCGGAGCGTTCCTGCTTTGGAAGGTTGTTTAATGTTGACTCACCGTGCACGCGAGAGAACAGAAGCGCACCGAGAAAAGCCGCACATACAGAGGGTTTAAAAACCCCACAACTCACGCAGTGCAACGACATACTTGCTGCACTGCCGACCGTTCTGGGCGCGACTCGAAAGAGGGTTTCTCGCTGACATTACCACGGTGTGGTCATGAAGAAGCCCCGCCTTGAACTTTGCCAATACACCATCAAGGTGCAACAATGGTCGTGTTATGGTGCAGCGATCAAAGTCAATGAAATAAACTCGTGAAGCGTGTGAGAATTTGTTATAAGAAAATTATGCAAATGACTTCAATGCTTCTATGCAAATTTTTGTTGAGGCGAACCGGAGCAAACCAAGTTAAAAAAGGGACTATAATAAGTGAGAAAAAAGGTACAAATGAGATGGAACAAATTAAATTAAAAAAGTATCGTTCCTTAAGTTGAAGTGTGACCCTGAATCGTGACAAATCATCAAAATTGCCGAGGGGGTGAATGTTACAGGCCTAGTAAGTGTAGCGATTTAACTGCATGCAGCCAGTAACTATTCCCTTCCCCTGCGATTGAATGAATTACCACAAATTGGAGTAACGGGTCGACTTAAGAATCTGTGTTTTTCTATATTGCAGTGAACACACGTTGGCTTCTCGTGGCAGCAGTGGCCACATGAACCCATTGCATACAAGGGACATCAAGGGGAAATAATACAGGTGGGAACCTCCTGGTTACACCAGCCCACAGGGGATTATTGTGTCCGTCCGTCCGTCGTGCAGGGAGGGGCTGGGTGGGGAGGGGAGGGTGGGGAGGGGCTGGGTGGGGAGGGGCTGGGTGGGGAGGGGAGGGTGGGGCTGGGTGGGAGGTGGGAGGGGTGGGGCTGGGTGGGGGGGGCTGGTCACCCCGTGGTGCCCTTATAAAAACTCAACGTTTAACCAACTCACGCCAGCTTGTGCCCGCCCTCACAGTCGGGAATATTCGCAGAATACACCACGCCGCCGTTGACCCTGGCCATTGACCGAGCAACCCAACGTTCCTACCAGCTCCCTCCGCAGGAATGTGTTAAGATTATCACGCGATGTAAACGCCCTGAGATCAAGAATGAATGATAAACAGACACGTTTGTTTCATGGCTTCTGTAATGGTCTCCAACATACATTTGTCCTTGGAAGTATTTGGCATAATCAATGATGGCATCAAGTTTCAAAGCCGCACAACGGCACGACGTCGCAACATGACTTCACACGTGGGGTAATGACATCATCAGGGGAGGAATGCACTTCATTTCAGCACAGATCAGTGTGACTGGCTTTCTATCGCACAAGTCACTTAACAATAACATTGCATTCACATTGGATCATCATTAGAAGAGTTGTCCTGCCTCCCCACAAAGACGGTCCACCGCATCGCGCTTTTTCAGATGTGCTTCTGTGACTGTCTGGAACACTCTTCCTTCTGATGTAAAAAAGCCACTGGAGCAATGCACTTTTAAATCATCTATATAAAAAAAAATATTCTTTAGAGTTGCTTTTTTGTTTAGTTAGTTTTGCATCCCCCGCACCTCCGATAAGCACGGTTGGCTACGCACGGTGCGATAGAATTCTCGATTTGAAGTTTTCATGACTGCAAGGATCCATACTCGTTGATTCTTTCGGTAAAGTCACATAGGTGGAAATAAAAAATCATGAAATTTTTTTAAATAAAAACGAAATTTAAAATAAAAATGAAATAAAAATTTAGTTATTTCATTTTTAAAAAATCACCTACGTGACTTTACCGAAAGAACCAAAGAGTACGGTGCGATATAAGCTCAACATACACACATACATTACGCAGACGGACGGAGTGAATGCCTTGACGATTGCTAAATGTCGTGACAAAAAAAAGTATGCAGCGTGTACGTACGTGCGTGAGCGAACACATCGTGAAGGAGCGTCTCTTCCGCCGCTCCTCGGGCTGCCCCTCCCGGGCTCCAGCTGTGTGCGATGGCCTCGAGGAGACGCGTCTGGGCTCGCGTGGCCCTCAGCGACAGGCTGGGCAGCTCAAAGATGCCCTCTGTCACGGGCAGCATGGCCCTCTTGGTCCTGCCAAAGAAAAAAAAAAACACACTCGCTGATTCTTTGCGGAGCTAAATAGCCGGCCTTTAATGAAGAGCTCCGTCTGTAGAAAGGTTGTAACGTGCGTGTATTTTTCCCCCTTAAAAAGATTCATTAAAAATCCCTGCAATTTGGGTTTTTTCCTACTGATTATTGCGAAAACATCGCTAGAAATGTAGCTGTAAAAATAGAGCGGCTTAACTTTGTTGCATGAATAATGAACGTGGTTGAATAAACATTGTTCTCAGCTTGCCCGCAGCCAATGCTTGATACGGACGGAATATATATGAAAATTACTCTTTGCTTTGTTTGCACTTTCAGCTTGAGAAATATTATCAAGCTCGTGAAACAATCTCTAATAGCGCATCGTCAATCCATTACACTTCGCCATATGAAATAGATTTACAATAAAGGGATTTTTAAATATATATGAAATGTGGTTTCTGACGATGCATGTCCACAGGCTACACGCATCTGCTTGAAATATGCAGCGGATGAAAATGACTTAAAGACTTGCCATGAACTTTTAAACATCGTTAATTCTGCGTCCTCTCACCAGATATCGTCAACAATGGTAAGTACCCACGATGCATCAAGTGCCGTCAACATTACCGCAGTATATTTTCAACAAGGCAGAGTACATTTTCTGTCACATAACACCTGTAATGATGATATTGTCCTTAAAAAAGCTGACCTCTTGCACCAAATATAATTTCAGATCATTCAAGATGTCCTAGTCATACATCATCATCATCAATCTCCTGGCAAAGGTGAATGGGTTTTTCTTTTATTAAATGTTTAAATTTAAGCGGGCAAAGTGTGCAAGTGTGTAATTATCATCTTATGTTTAAGAATGTTGTGGACTACGCGATGCTCGATGCAGCAGGCGCATGTCTAGGAATGTTCTAACTGTGTCACTTTCGCAAATGAGACTGTCCTGGTCACTCTTTTCACATTTCCACCTGGTCAAACAAAACAACTTGAAGTTTGCCTCGATGTAGTTTGGGTTGTTGGTGCTGCCCCTGCCCCCTGCCCCCTCTCCCTTTGATGCTGTTAATCCTGCATAATGCACGGGCATAATATGACTTTGAAAACCCCCCGCCCACCTCCCACGCATTTCACAATTAGCACTATTCGCATTCCTGCATTTCCCATAAATATGCTAAATTCCTCTTCAAATGCAAATTATTTTGTCAAGGCTCTCTTCCCCCTCCCTCACAGCTTAAATAGACACTCCAAGCCTAAGACGTGTCATTTAGACTCTGTCTTATCGACAGACATGTTCTTCACCTGAGGACGGCTGCTTGCGTTGTGGCCAAAACGTCGTGAGAATTATTTTATTATGTTTTATTTTTATTATTTTATTACTTCCCTTCTACGTGACTTTACCGAAAGAACCAAGAAGATGAATCCCTGCTGTCACGAAAGCTTTAAATCGAAATGTAGGTTTGGGTTGTTAAGGCACCAAACGCGACTGTCTTCCCATGTGAGCTTCTGTTAAATTTACTCATAAGAAGGCTGCAGGCATTGTTGATGTTTTCTTAAAATATATTCCACTTTGGCCACAAGCTTCAGATAAATAATGCGTGACCATGTATCTCAGAATGGCCTCTACATCAACACTTGGAGCATGCAATTTATATGCCCGAAAGAGTGTTTGTCATAGGCAATCAAACTAATATATTTTTTAATATTCTCAGAGCCGTAATCAACTCCAATTAAGAGATAAACCCAAACCAAATATCGTGATTTTTTGTGGGTTGCTGGCATCTGTGGCATGTTCCAGAATGTTAACTCACTACACTCAGGAACCTGGTTTAATCACAGATGCTTGCCTGGACTAGAACCCAGGTTTCTCAGAGGTGCTGGCTCAATGAACTTCACGGAAGCACAAGTCCTCAGAGCCACCCAGCCACCTAAGCTGGGAGGTCCTCCTGCCTTGTGCTGTCCATGCGAAGCATGACCTCACCCATTAAAGCCAGGGACCAAGTTTCCATCCCACATGGTCATCCGCTGCCTGTGGCCCTCTTTCTGCTCAATCGCAATGCACAAACAAACCGCAGCCAATCCAAATATCAAACCCGATTCCCACCGCAGCGAACAACAAGCTGATGCCATGTAAAACGTGCCAAAGCTTGGTTACTGCAGGGTAGGAAAGAGACACCGCTAACGCAGCATCTGCGACTCCCAACCGGTTTTTTTTATTCGAAATTACAGCTAATAAAACGCACGTAATTTATGGAAAGGAAAACAATCGACAAAACGGTGCTTTACAATTTGCTGAAACTCACTGCAATATAATTTGGCCACTTGGGCAAACTTGGCAGCCCACGGGCCAAGGGATGAGCTCCGTGTTATAGGCTTAAATTAAAAGGAGTCACTTGCCGAGTAATACATGTTTTCTCAGCTGGAATTAAAACTTAAAAGTGATGAATGGTTTTCAGTGGATAATGGGTCAAGTCCAATTCGAATGTTTGCTGTACAAGAAAAATGATAAAATAACGGACTACCTTGAAAGATGCAACTGATATCCGGTGTACGACTTTCTAATACACGAGCAGACTTCCTACGAACCTTAGTTGCGTATTTTATTACCAACTTCTTACTCTCTCTGGTCCTATTATATTAACCGTGATTAATGGTCATATAAATACACAAGCGCGCTCTCTTCCATAACGGAAAACAGATTACATCGGCAAATTGCCCATCCACAACACTATCCATACACATCTGACGGAATCCTCTCCACGTTTATAAGAAAGCACAAAAAGTTCCTGAAACACTGACGTGCACATCGAGTGGAGTCATTCGTTTTGTCCATCCAACCGAACCGCCTACCTCCTCCATTTCGACCTTCCCTGCAAAGCTGCAGCTGGAGTCACATATGGAGCCGCAGTGAATATTTTGACGGCAACGACCGTACGGATCCGTACGCACAATGTCAAGCGCTTTTCAAAACTAAAAAACGCGTGCAAAGCCGTAATGCCAAACATCAGTTGTACATTTCAACGTCGTCAGTATAAAAACCTTTTTTAACAACTGTACCTCGGCACTTCTCAGAACACCAGAGATTCATATGGGCCACTTTCAAAACGATTTAACCTAAAGCAACGGTGTTTTTTTTTTAACGGCAATAAAAAATTGCTGCAGGACGAAATAGGTTTCAATGCAGGCCTTCTCTATGGTTACATTTTCAGCGCTGGATAAATATGGAAAAGTGTTATTCTTCCTTTATAAAACAATGTACATTATGTGTTATATGTGTTATATATGTTCACGAGCTTGAGGTAAGTAAAGGCCACTTTCTACCAACTTTAGTGTCAGGCGCTTAAAAACATGTACATAAAAAATTTGATTTGAAAAAAATGTCATATTTGAATTCAACACAGCCAACGCGGTATTGCCAATTATTTAGTTTAATTTCCATGCAGCACTCTTAAAAACGTCCAGAAACAAACTTTCATAGGCCTATGCTCAAAGACGTTAAATGTGCTCCCGACAAAATGTACGGGATCCAAAATAAAATGTAAAAAATACAAATATTATTTGTTTTAAAAATATTCCTATCAATATATGGGTTATATTTGTGCCAAGTTTCACTTTATAGTGCTTCGGCAACGTCGTCCCGCACCTCCGAGAAGCACGGTTGGCTATGTATGGTGCGAAAGAAGTTCAACATACATGCATACATGTGTAGTGACTGACTCAGAGACACTAGGAGAAGGAGGCACTCTATTTATGAACAGCCTTCACAGTCCACACAAAGCAACTACAGCTCCCAGTCAGGACAGCTGGCAGACTGCCTGACTGACGACGCCGAGAAGACGCAGACTGAGCCTCCAGCAGTACGACGAGGGGATCCCGCTCCAGGCGACAGCCCCGAGCTCCCGCTCGGGGTCCCCTTTTATCCTCCCAGCGTGGCCTCGCTCCGCCCCAGCCACGCCCCCCTTTCTAGAACCTACTAGCGGGTTCCTGGGCTTCCCCCACGTGCCCCCTCTGTAACCTTTCCCCTCCATCCATCTTTCTGGTTTATCACGTGACCTGCTGACAGAAAGGGCTGCTGCAACTGTAGATCCCCTTCTCTGCCAGCAACCAGCGCTATGCTACGTAGTGACCCATTCCATGTCACTACACATGCATACGTTAACTTTACATCAGTCACTCCGCCAGTCGCTCACTCACTCACTCATGGCCGTCTATATCACAGTGAGGCAAGCGGAAACTCGTACACTGTTATCCAGAGGTGTGGACTCGAGTCATGTGACTTGGACTCGAGTCAGACTCGAGTCATGAATATGATGACTTCAGACTCGACTTGGACTTGCATAACAATGACTTTGTCCCACCTCTGAGGTGTGGACTCGAGTCATGTGACTTGGACTCGAGTCAGACTCGAGTCATGAATTTGATGACTTCAGACTCGACTTGGACTTGCATAACAATGACTTTGTCCCACCTCTGCTGTTATCTCATTGGCTTGCTGTTACTGGCCACAACTGACTCTTTTTGATGTGGCTGTCCAAAACAAGGCCGGTGTACCTTACACGGAGAGGATGGTGCTATGATCGTGTGACATGCAAGGCACGATGGGGAGGACAGATGCTATGGCCACAATCGCGCCTTTCAATGTCGATAAAAATGACTTCTCGCTTGCAGTAACATCGCTCGTATTCGTGAGCCTGGTCTGCGTGTATTTTTCCATCTGATGAGTTTCTCATCATTTAGAAACGGCATTAGAAATTAAGTTGTTTTCGTGCATGTTTTTCCTAATGATTGGCAAAAAAGCATGATTTTATTACAAGAAAAAGTAGATTTAAAATATATATATATACAGGGTGGCCCAAAAGTGAGAACATATAGGGATATTTTATTTATTTTAACACGTGCATTAAAACATTTTAATGTTTTATTATGTAAGTTAATATTTTATCTATTTTCATCATTAATAACTATTCTTCTTCTTCATGTGAGGTCATCTTAAATCCGTCACTTATAAAACTCGACCAAGAACCCTCAATGAATTTAGACAAAATATAATTGATGAATGTTTATATATCTTTTTAAAAATTTCGAAATGAATTTCAAAAGGGAATGCGTGCACACCTTAATCATAATACAAGTCAGTTAAATACTTCTTAAAATGTATTAAATAACCCGATGTGATGTGTTGAAATAAATATAATAACCCAATGTGTCCTGACTTTTGGAGCACCATGTATATGGCTGCGTGTAGGAATGAATGGCATAACGCCGCAAGAATGGAGCAGGTGAATCGCCTACCAGTACATGGGCAGCTGCAGCAGCTTGATGTACAGCGCTGGACTGAAGGCTGGGATGATGGGCACGGGCGGGTGAGCCAAGGACGCGTTCAGGCAAACGAGATCGGCTCTCAGTCCGAACACCTGAGGGATGAGACCGCCAAGCAGAACTCAACGTGCGAACGCTGCAAGCCAACGGAGCGTCCCGGTAACGATCAAATTCCTCGCACCTCGCGTGAGTCATGGCTGCACTCTCGCTACGCCTGCTCATGGGATATCGCTTGGCAGAGCTGTGCGTGGCTTGCGGGGGGGGGGGGGGGGGGTGTACAGGTGCACGCGTGTGTCTCGTACGCACCATGTGTGTGTGTTCGATGATAATATAGGGGAGCGGTTAGCAAGCTGCACTACGAGCCGGGCGACCCGAGTTCGATTCCCACCAACCCTAGGTCGACTCAGCCTCAAATGAGTACTTGGTGCAGTGTGTAAACATCACCACTCAGGAGACAAAGACGGCAGGGCATGGTGTTGGCCATGCAAACTTTCATAGGTGCTCGCTAGCAACACTTGCCCTAACTATCTGTTAAGGCTATACGGGGGATCTTTGTCTTTGTGTTCGATGACAATATAGCACATAGCCTGGCACACGCGCCGTGGTGACGTCACCGCCACTAAGTGGCGAATGGCGGTTGAGTTTGTTGTTGACAATACACTTTGTGGAGAAAGTGTTACGTATATTTTGTCTTAAAACTAAGCATGCCTTTCAATTACAGTCTTTGTACAGCTATTGCTCTATTTGCCAATTCACAGTTAAATTAAGTGGCATCCCCGCTCTGCCTTGTAGCTTGTGGGGTTATATGACTATAATTCACCATGCCGGTTAGCACCGGTTGGTGGAGGCTGTGAGCACAGATCGTGAAACATAGTACAGTACAACTGATTTTTGCTGCACCCCCTTCTGTCGACAATGTCAGTGCTCGCCCATCCAAGCTCTATCCAGGCTCAACCCTGTACCGTGTCAAAGATCCTATGGGGTTGGCTGCATTCTGTGTGATTCGGTCACGCGAAAATCACGTTGCCGTAAATGCTCGGGATGCAACCATTTGCCTCCTCATGTTCCAATGAAAGGTTGCTTTTGAGGATCACGATTCCATTTAAGAATCAATTATTTCCTAACAGTGTGGTGAATGCGGTGGTCCCGAGTGTATGTAGGGGGTCAACATCTTCAAATCAAAGCACAATGTTTGTTTTAAACGTACCGCGATTCAATGTACACATCGTAAGCTTAAACATACATATATCGATGAATTAACCGATCTCTTTGGTTCTTTCGGTAAAGTCAGGTCGTCCTCAGGCGAAAAAAACATAATCCAGTAGTGGATTATATTTTTTATATAATCCAGTGTTGCGATCGAAACGTCGTGATATTTTATTTTTTGTTTTATTTAATTTTTCTACCTACGTGACTTTACCGAAAGAACCAAAGAGTATGGATTCCTGCAGGCACGAAAGCTTCAAATCAAGAATTAACCGATCCTTCAATACAGCTTAACGGTAAACAAAATACCGGCCACAACATTCAACTTACAATCGGAAAGTTTCAACCGACAAGACAAAATAATCGCTATCCTTCTGGGGCACGCGAAATTACTTCCACTTCATAGGAAGTCAACAAGTCATCATCGTATGAGTACTCTCTCCTATGCCTAAAGAACATTTTTTTGGAGTTTGACAATGCACAGATTCATTTATTAAGATTGATTGTTACACTCGTGATGCGTGCATTCAATCGCTTACGCAATCATTTGCTTTTATGATATAATTATTTCTGTACATTCAGGTTACCTCTGCAACCACTAGAGGTGCTACATTTACACTTACAGAGAAAAAAAACGGTCTCGAATTTAAATATACACATCACTGCATCAATAAATGGCCGAATCGTTAAGTTGCTTGGGTGCTTAGCTCACAAACGGTTGCAATTAAAACATCCCAGTTTAGAATCAACTCAGCCGTTAATCTGAATAGGACTAATACATTTGCTACCACTTTATATGACGTTAAATGGTGGATATACTACGAACACATTTGCCAGCGCCTTGGGTTGTGACGCTTGTTATTCTGCACATTGTCCAACGTTTTGATCCACGTGCTGAAAAAGCTCCGAGGCAGCAGTACCACGAGAACGTGGAATCTCTTCCGCTAATTCTGGGCCACCAACAAAGAATTTTAATTTGACCAATTTTTTAAATTTATTTTACCAGGCCAGGCCCACTGAGCTATACAGCTCTTTTTCAGAAGCGATCAGGTCAAAAATGATAACTCAACAAAGTAGCTTACCATGCGGACATGTGTAGAAGCCAAATACTCTGAACGCGTGTTTTCCAAATGTGGAGGGAAAAACCGGGGGACCCAGAGAAAAATCCACATGACCACGGGGAGAACACGCAAACTCAAAACATACAGGCATCAGGGTCAAGATCGAACCCACGACCTCCTGTATACCAGGCGAGGCAGTTCACATCTCACCACCAACGAGTGCCACATCAACATCCGGTGATTCCGCTTTGCCTTGACCTTCAATTCAACTTCGCGTCCGTGTCTACCGTGGCCCCGGCACCGGCCACACCGGCGGTACCTTGAGGTAGCAGTGCACGTAGCAGTGGTGCAGGAGGCTTCGCGAGGGCTGCGACAGGCTGCTGAGCGTCCTGGCGAGCCGGCGCGGGTACATGGGGGTGCAGTGCTCCAGGTTGACGCGGTCCACGTGCAACGCGAATGCCGGCAGGGCGCGCGACGCCGGAGGCCTGGCCCCGGGGGCACCCGCGCCCACCTGGGTTCGTCGGGCCCGGTCGGGGGAGGAGAGAGAAATAAATAAAAAACCTGCACGCCGCACAGCCAGGCTCATTTCTGACTGATTCACGGCCAGGGCGGTTGTTAAACGGATCTGTTTTTGTTCAATTACGAATCCACCTTGCCTTGCAGCTCGCCTTGCATTGTGTCTGGACCCCACATGGAAGCCTCATGTGATCGGATGATTGAGGGGCTCACCAATTGCCCCATACGGCAGGCTCACTTACGGACCGTTGCCTGCTGGTGTGCAGCTCATTAGCACTGGCATAGCGAGAGGGCCCATGGTGATTTTCTCTGTTTGTATGGCAAGGTGGTTAAGGAGCCTGTGACGGACAGCCAAATGATTTTAACACTCCGAATAGGGATACATCATTTTTGACAAGACCAAATGATATGAATATTATAATCCTTCAAGAAAAAAAGCACTCATGCAAGGAGTAATTTTATCATCTATGAGCAGATTTGAGTTTTTTATACGTATATTTTACCACGCCAGTCAAAATGAAGGGTGTTTTCCGATGAGTATATGCTTGCTGATGCCATAGGAGTGGGAAGACACGTCAACTTTCTGAGTAAAGATTTAGGAAATATTTAACCATTTTTCTGGAGGCCCTTTATAGGCCTAACCAACAGTGAGGATATGTTTAAGCATAATTAAAAAGTAAAGGAGGGAAAATCAAATTAATTTTCCGTATTACTATTTCATTAACGTTCCAACATTGTATGGCTACATGTTCTCAAATTAATTTGACTTTGTATGTTGCGTGTGTGTGTGCCTGTGTGTGTATGTCTTTGTGCGGAGCAGTTGTGTAGCGGCTAGTGCGCTGTGCTACGAACCCAGCTACCAGAATTTGATTCCCGCCCACAGCCAACGCCAGTGACGATTGTCTCAACCAGTCCTGGTCCTCCCCTAGGTCGACTCAGTCTCAAATGATTACCTGGTGCGGTGTGTAAACTTCGCTACTTGGGAGACAAAGGCGGCCAGGCGTGGTGCTGGCCACCCATCCCCTCGTGTGCCCTGCCGGCCTTCATTGGTGCTTGCTAACAGCACTTGCCTCGAAAGTCTGTTAAGGCTACACGGGGGGTCTTTGTCTTTTTTCTCTCTGTGTATATGTGTGTCTATGCGTTGTGAGAGATTCATTTTTTGTAATAGTACAGTGCACGCAGATGCATTTTCAAAACCAAGCCAAATACCTTGAGCTAATGTTGCCACTTTGCATCAACGTTTCCCGACAAATGAAAATAAACAGCCATCAAAACCTGCTACATTTTACCTGCCGAACCGACCCACGTAATCTCCAAAGGAAATGCTCGTAATGAAATAAATATGCGGCCGTCAGCAACTATTTTATCGATGCGCCATTGCTTTTGGTCATTCGTATGAAAACGACAACATCACGCACGCTGAGAGACATTCGAGATAGCATATTAAGCGAGATTATTTTTGTTTCTTCAAGCGTTCTCATCATTTTTGGTGGTTTCTTAACGCTAGAGTGATGCAGACACGCCCACACTCCATTCACCTCAAAGTGACAGGTCAGAACTGATTGAACGCAGCAGGCAGATTTGCCAAGCACAATTATGAAATAATAGTTCTTGTTGAATTGCGAAGGCTTTTGAAAATTTTTACGTAAGATTGTCATTTCGTTTTCTGTAACAGCAATATGGGTATACACATTTAAGACTGCGGCAATAAAAAGTCGTGTTGCTTTAAAAAGGGATTTGCAGATGTGAAAACCACAGGGCATAAATAAAACGGCATTTGCGGTCACTGTAACAACATTTGCATGTTTGTCCGGCAAGACAAGAGGTCGTTTTTAGATGCCTTTTATTTTTACACGCCGAGACTTAACAGGGACCGTGATTATAAATCAGGCAATCGTCAGCCCCAAGCAAAAAAAAAAAGCTGGGAAACTGGGATGGTTTATTTTTTTGGGAACCTAAGCATGGCACCAACAACTCGAGAAATTCTTAGCAACCGAAGGCATCGAAACTCAAACAAACGCATGCGTGCCCTTCGGGGAGGTGTTTCTGGGAGCTGGCACGTACACTGCGCTTGCAACTTCACATCAAAGCACATGTGGTTTCGGACGGTTCCAAAACCTCCGCAGGAGAGCCGTGTTCATCGCACAGCCCTGGCTGTCCATTGGTGGAGTACAGTACAACTCGGCTGCATGCAATCCCGCACACGAGCCGGGCACCCCCCCCCACCTCCGCCCCTGATTATTCTGTATGTTTTCGCATGCTGAGTATGTACACCACAATTGCCTCCTGTGACTAACACTTTGGCTCTTTTGCAGCTGCACACTTTGGCACAACAGCCTGCCAGGATAAGGACTGCTTCCACTCTGCAGATTTTTTTGTATTTCTTTTTTTATTTTCCGAGGCAACGCTGGGTTTTATGCGCCTTTCGTTGACATCGGTACCTCTTTTTATGTCACTCTGCGGATGGTCAAAATTGTTGGCAGTTCACTATTTATTTGTTTCATTTCGCGAAGGCCTCCCACCACCACCCCCTTTTGTTTTAAAATACACCCGTTGTGTTTCGTTTGCAAAAAGATAAAAGCAGCTGGTGGGCAACAGAGCGAATTTAGATTGACGCACTTTACCTCGGGTTAAGAAATTGCCGTGTGACCTCGCCGTGAAGTGACCCTGGAGGCCACTCGCGAGAGAAAGAGAAGAAAAAACGACTCGGGGGGGGGGGGGAGGGAGGGGAATTCATGTCCGAGCACTCGCATGTGAAGGGGGACTCAGAATCAGCATCTGCTTTTATCCTGGATAAATCCGAATGAGCTACGGAGCCCTTTTTCACAGATGTCCATTAGGGGAGACGGGTCAGAAAGTTACAACAAACGATACAAAAAAAGAATTACAGGGGTGCAAAGTAAAGGAAAGGTAAGCAAGCCATTAAAAATAAATGCGTAAAACAGATCAAGCGTGCAAGTTCAAATTGTGTAAGTACACCAATTCCAAACCTTGGGCAAGGCATCAAAAAGAACAACAACAAAAAAACAGTCCCAGACCCCGCCGAGACAACACGCAGTCCCCCCTCCATGAAATGGGGGCGTAAACGCGCAGTTACCTGGCCCGAGAAGTACTGCGGGAAGATTCTGTCGAGGAGGTTGAACTCTGCGATGGGCACGGTGAGGCTGACGCTCAGGACGGTGAGGCAGGTGGTGCGGACCGGGATGAACTCCTCCAGGGAGGCCACCTCCTCAGGGCTGGGTGGCACCCGGGCCTCCTCCACCAGCTCTGCAGCCGACGATGACGAGAATACACGAGCAGCGATAGCATCCCTCACGCCAACAAAGATCCCCCCCCCCCCACCCGCCCGTATAGCCTTTGAAAGGCTGTTCGGGCAAGTGCCGTTGGCGAGCACCTATGCAATCCGGTACAGCGCACGAAGGAGAGGGTGGCCAGCCAGCACCATCGACGGGCGCCTTTCTCTCCAAAGTGACGACGTTTACGCACCACACCGGGGTACTCGTTTGAGGCGGAGTGGAGCTTGGGGAGGCACAGAACCGGTTCAGTTCATCATCACGGGTGTTGGCCGTGATCAGGAAACGAATTCTGGTCGCCGGGTTCGTAGCGCAGCGTGCTAATCGCTACGCTACTCACCTCCACACAAAGACAAAGATCCCCCGTATAGCCTGAACAGACTGTTGGGGAAAGTGCTGTTAGCGAGCACCTATGAATGCCAGCACAGCACACGAGGGGGTGGGTGGCCAGGACCACGCCTGGCCGCCTTTGCCTCCCCACTGGCGATGTTTACACACCGTACCAGGTACTCATTTAAGGCTGAGTCGACCTAGGGGAGGTCCAGGACCGGTTCAGATAATCGTCGCTGCTGTTGGCCGTGAGCGGGAATCGAACTCAGGTCGCCGGGTTCACAAGCGCAGCGCAAAGACTGGGCATTGCAATAGAAATGGAGTGAGAAGGTTGAGAAAAACTGCGTAGGTTTTTTGCGATTGTGATGTACAGCTCGTCGTGATGTCTGACTGTTCGCACCGCATGCTGGGGAGCTTCTGCAACGAACGTCGAGCTCTTGGGTGCGTGCACAAGTGCCGAAGTTGATAAGCAACATCAAGGTGCCCCACGTCGAACGCTCGCCACAGCTGGAAAACTCCGTACACTCGTGGGGGAGAACGTGTAACTGCTCGATTCAGCTCCCGGCTCTCCCAGGCAAGACATTCACACCGAGTAGATACGCTTATAAAAAAAAAACTTTTCAGAATTATATAGTTTTTTCTTTCCTCATTTGCCCCAAATGTTCCACCAATTGTGCAACTTACACCATGCCATGACACGGAGACATATCTGGTGCAGTGCATGGCCCTGTTAGGATAATGGCTTGCGGAACGAGAGCTCATAGACCTACTTCTGAGATTCTAGATTTGAAGCTTTCGTGACTGCAAAGATTCATACTCTTAGTTTTTTCGGTAAAGTCAAGTAGGTAAAAAATGAAATTAAAATACAGCAAATCTGGCTGTGACGGTCCCACCTGATGACGGAGACTTGTGTTGCCTCCGAAACGTCGTGATTTTTATTATTTTATTTTTATTAATTTTTATTTCACTACTTCTGAGATTCCGTTCGAGTGATTTCCTTACGAATACCAAGGGCGCCGCGATTCCTGACACGCCCTGCTACACAGCGGTCAAACTGAAGTTACATCGAATTTTCACAGTTTGAAAATGTTACACAAAAACAATAATTTACAACGGGATTTTTTTTTTCTTTGCACGGGCACCGAAGTCCAGGCTCGTGGTCGTCAACTTGCCACGCACACTCGGGCAATCCTGGGATTGGTCACAGGCAGACGAATCTCGGGCATTGAAACCCAGGAGCGTGGCGGCGCTGGCTCCGTAGCGCCCGAGTCGCCCCAGCCACCTCAACGCTTATGCTTCTTGACGTTCACACTCTCACAAGTGCTGGCATCGCCAGCGGTTGTGATAAACGGACAGAGCCGGCACCGCCTTGGCAGCTGCAGAAAAGCGGTTCCAGACTCAGACGGGGGGGGGGGGGGGGGGGGGGGGGTCTGTCCCGCACAAACACTGCACAACCATTAAAGGGGCCCTGTAAGTCTCCGGGCGGAATGCGCCAAGAAGATTTTCGTGAAGTGGCTTTTATTTGTTGTGTTTTATATCCGAAAGGCCCAATCCGAACTCTGCAACGTTGGAACAAAATGAGTTAGCACGGGGCATCGGCAGTGCACGCTGCTGGCGCGTTTGGTCCGTGACATTGAAGGATTGCTGTGCAGCATTAAATGTGCTGGAATAAAATTAGCACCCCCTGAAAATGTGGGATGATTCAGTCTGACGCCTGTGGAGTTCATGTTGAAATCGACAACAACGTCGTGTTTAGAGTGTCTGATGTCATACGCGCAAACACAATGCAAGCCTCTCTCTGTTCGCACATGCAAGCACGCGATGGCAATTTCTACCACAGTTGAAGCAGCAGCCAACGAACGTCATGCACTCAGGGGGGTTAAATCGTGCGAGCTGCACAACAGTAACGGTGACTGATACCACCGCTTACTTATCCAAGTCGAACTAATTAATTTCAAGAAACTGCTACAGGCCAACTCGTTAGTGATTGCACGTTCTACACAAGAACATTCGCACGCCTCTCATAATATATAGTTGATGCATGATGTCCATTGCATATTCAGTGTGAAAGGGGCAAGCAGATAAACAGCTGACGATGACAATGCCAACGATGACGACAATAAATGATGACAATCGTTCTAATGCGCGTGACTCGATGAAAAGCAATTCGCAAGTCTACGTCCAATTTGGTTCCCAAGAGATTTGCTTTAGTTGATGCGTGGTCCATTACTTTGTTGAATTTTTCACAGTGGCCCAAGACTCTGTGGTCGACGGTCCGGCCGGGTTTTCTGCAATCGAACGCCAGGATTCCCTAGATTTCCCACGCTTGAGGGCACCTGTGGGATCTGCCGTTTGACGCGTGAGTTCGATCTTCAAGTGGACCATTGGTTCGGAGGTGGAGTTTAAAGTCCAAAAGTTATTTCGTGAGATCGGCGATCAGATGCTTGTTCGGGACATATAGGGGTGTGGCGATACAAACACTGGGCTCAATTGAGAGGGGATATGCGCAAAAAATAACAAAAAGTATACCACTTAATTACGCAGACAAAAAAACGTGAAAGATACAATTAGGTGTTGCGAGGTACACTGTAAACGATACTGAAACTCTCCCGCCACACTGCTATGTGTGCATTTCCGCGATCGCATGCCGGGCTTTCTTCCAATGCCCCCTTGTGAATGTCAGCACGGCTGGCTTAGCATGGGCTGCGAAAGACGCTCAAAACATACGTGCACACGTGCGTACGAGGTAAGCGGGCGGGATCTGAGTTGAAAAACGCGCGGGGATCGATTCTTTGAACGCGACGACGTACGCGGAGAGCACAGCCCGCGTGAGACGGCGCCTTGCGCACGCGCGACAACACGTGCCTGGCCCGGGGCTGCTGTAGGCTTCGTACTCGTGGTCGAGCGCGCAGGCCACCATCTTGGCGATGCGATGCACCGAGCTGGCGTCGAGGCGCAGCTCCGTGGCGCCCAGCACGAAGCGCTTGAGCGACGATTCCCTGGGACGGGGCCCGTCGCCGGCCCTCCCGGGAGCTCCCTCCAAGGGGCCGCCAGCAACTGGAGGAAAGGAAAACCACCACCGGCCAACGCCGCCCCCGCCCCGCCGCGGGCCACCGCCGCGTGAAAATGAAAACATTGAGACGATAAAACGTGCGGTGTTCTGCCCGGCTGAGTTTTACTCATCCCTGTGGGGTATCCACATTCACCGCGGACTGGCCCAAAATGAACAAAATAACGTACGCAACACCATACCGTGAGAATAAACGTGCAAATCTCGCAGCTAATCCAGATACATGTCCGCGAGTGGAACCAGAGTCTGTGGACGGAGTGTCAATAAAAATTATTTTGTGTTAACCAGCGGTGGGGGGGACCTGAGGCAAGCGGAATCAATATAGGCCCACAACTTCACTGCATTCGGCCTGCCACTTCAAAACGACCACAAGTTACATATTTATCCGCAACTGCAAGAATATTGGCTGCACACTAATCGGGTACTTGAGGGGAATATTTTCGACCCGGCAAGACCGTTTTTTTCTAACTTGAGCATGTTCGGTCAACTCTTGCCACCGCAAGAGCCTCTTACAGTGAGAGAAGTAACGAAGATGTGCGTATGTGTGTGAAGGGTGTTGATACGTGCACCTGGCCTGGCACAAGCGCCGTGGCGACGTCACCGCCAGTTAGTGGCGAATGGTGGCTGTTGTTGCCGTTGTTGTTGCGTGTTACGTTTGGGCGGGCAACGTAATAATTTAATAGCCCTATTCAGCCCTCGGGAAGACAAACTGTTCTCACCTCTGGCGTAAACCGAACTGAAATCCCCACAAGAGAAAATATCATTGTCGCCCGTTTTTTTCTTTTCTTGCGTGCGAGCGCCGCATGGCACCACAATGCATTGCAGCAGATTGCGCAAGCGGGCAATGAATATCGGGGAGCATCGGCTTCTTGTAATTCACTGTGAAGCAGCCTGCATGTTGGTCCATGGAGAGGCGACTGCTGCTCTTTGCCCCGCTCCACCACCTTTCTCTGCGTCTCAAGAATGTGCCGACTGGCGGGCCGTGGAGACGTTGCAAATGTTGTGATGTTGAAATGTGCACGTGTAAAGGTTGGGGAGCCTTTCCCTTACATGTAACGCATTAAATGCGCCATGCACAAAGGCCAAATGACATGTGATACTGAAAAATGTTAATTGCAAACCCCAAGATGATATTTTTTTTGGGGGGGGGTGGTGCAGGGAAGGGGGGAAAGTACTACTATTATTATGGGACAAATATAGCTGAAAATGATTAACCCAATAAAGGTATTGGTGTGGAGCAGTACAAATTGGTAGCCAAACTGTGGAAGAGCGTTATTCCTCGGTGGCACCCAGGGACCGCTGAGCATGCGTTGAGCCGGCTTTGCGGCGAGGCGTAAATTCGGGTGTGAGCTGCAGGTGGGCGTCCCGAGAGACGCACGGCTGAGTGATGAAGCCCTCAATCCGGCCACAATCATCGCTGCAAATGAAAATCTGCCCCAAAAACCACACCGTGTAAGAGCAGTGTTTCAGGTGGGGGGGGGGGGGGATTATGTACAATTACCCGTAATTGTAACGCCCGTCTGAGAGCGGGGGAGGGAGATTTGTCGTGACCTGTCGTGCAGATGATTTATATAATGCCACGTTTTCAACGGCCGAGAAAAAACTGGCTTCTTGATGATAAAATAATTGGGTTAGCCTTGTCAGAACGGCGAAAGGCGCCTTGAGTGATTACGCTATGAAAGATGTTGGAATAAAGTAGTGCACCGTACAATAAAATGTTCTAATTCTGTTTATTCAGGCGCTCGTTTCATAACTGAGATACTAAACAACACGGGAAACCAACGTCCGTCAGTTGTCAACGCGCAAAAACTAATTCATTTTTTGATCTCTCACATTTCCGAGACATCAAACGCTGTTTTGGCTGCGGAAGGTTTTTTTGTTTGTTCCCACAATTGTGAAGTCGCTGTGGTGCTAGATTAAATGTCATCGCATTGGGCGCATGCCTCTCCCGTCGCACCACCTGCTCGCTGACACAGTACCTTTGTTCTCCTCCACGGCCATGGTGTACAAGTAGTCAAGGTACGCGGCGCCAAACCGCTGGAGTCCCGCCGTCTCCGTGCACGTCTCCTGCGCAAAGAAGTGCGATGGCCCCGTGGCAAGATGTTAGCTACCCCGCCTGGTATACACAGGAGCGACGTGGGTTCGACCCTGACGCCTGCTGTATATTTGGAGTTTGCGTGTCTCTTTCTCATCATCACGGTGGCGAGGAGATGTTAATTACCTCGCCTGGTATACACAGGAGCGACGTGGGTTCGACCCTGACGCCTGCTGTATGTTTGGAGTTTGCGTGTCGCTCTCTCTCATCATCATCATCATCACGGTGGCTGAGAGATGTTAACAACCCCGCCTGGTATACACAGGAGCGACGTGGGTTCGACCCTGACGCCTGCTGTATGTTTGGAGTTTGCGTGTCGCTCTCTCTCATCATCATCATCATCACGGTGGCTGAGAGATGTTAACTACCTCACCTGGTATACACAGGAGGGACGTGGGTTCGACCCTGACGCCTGCAGTATATTTGGAGTTTGCGTATCTCTTTCTCATCATCATCATCATCATCACGGTAGCTAGGAGATGTTAACTACCTCGCCTGGTATGCAGGAGGACGTGGGTTCTTCCCTGATGCCTGCAGTATATTTGGAGTTTGCGTGTTTCTCTCTCTCATCATCATCATCACAGTGGCAAGATGTTAGCTACCCCGCCTGGTATACACAGGAGGGATGTGGGTTCGACCCTGACGCCTGCTGTATATTTGGAGTTTGCGTATCTCTTTCTCATCATCATCATCACGGTAGCTAGGAGATGTTAACTACCTCGCCTGGTATGCAGGAGGACGTGGGTTCTTCCCTGATGCCTGCAGTATATTTGGAGTTTGCGTGTTTCTCTCTCTCATCATCATCATCACAGTGGCAAGATGTTAGCTACCCCGCCTGGTATACACAGGAGGGATGTGGGTTCGACCCTGATGCCTGCTGTATATTTGGAGTTTGTGTGTCGCTCTCTCTCATTATCATCACGGTGGCGAGATGTTAACTACCCCACCTGGTATACACAGGAGGACGTGGGTTCGACCCTGACGCCTGCTGTATATTTGGAGTTTGTGTGTCTCTCTCTCTCATCATCATCACGGTGGCGAGATGTTAGCTACCCCGCCGGGTATACACAGGAGCGACGTGGGTTCGACCCTGACGCCTGCTGTATATTTGGAGTTTGCGTGTCGCTCTCTCTCATCATCATCACGGTGGCGAGATGTTAACTACCTCGCCTGGTATACAGGAGGGACGTGAGTTCGACCCTGATGCCTGCTGTATATTTGGAGTTTGCATGTCTCTCTCTTTCTCATCATCATCATCACGGTGGCTAGGAGATGTTAACTACCCCGCCTGGTTTACAGGAGGTCGTGGGTTCGTTTCCGATTCTGACGCCTGCTGCTGTGTATTTCGAGTTTTTTTCCTCCACATTTAGAAACGTCCGCTTTAGAGTAGTTGGCTGCTGTACATTCCCACGCGATGAGCCGCTTCCTTGAGCTGTCATTTGCGATGGCCAGGTCGTTTCTGAAACAAAGCTACACAGCTCAGTGGGCCTTACCTATTGGTGTCAGAAAAGGGCGAGCTAATAGAAAACGCATTGGCATTTTTCATCATGGGACCTCTTTTGCCAGTACCAAAATATGAGAATAGATTTTCCCCTTTTTTCTGGCAACAAAACAGGTGTTAAGATGTTAAAACACCAAACTGAAACCTTTGTACAAGGAATCATGTCTGCATTAACCACAATACTTGTGGTCAGAATGCAAATAAAAAACACACTCTGATAATATATGCATTGTCTTTGAAACTGATTGGTCCACACCAGAGACAGCTTTCTTTTGAGCCGAGTCTCAAAACGGTGTTTTGCGTCCTCTGGTCTAACACCGTTTTGAGACGAGGCTCAAAAGAAAGCTTTCTCTGGTGTGGACCAAATCAGTTTCAAAGACAATGCAAATATTATTAGAGTACGTTTTTTTTGTTTGCATTCTGACCACAAGCATTGTGGTTAATGCAGACATGAGTCCTTGTAAAAGGTTTCAGTTTCGGTGTTCTAACAATCTTAACACATGTTTTGTTGCCAGATAAAAGGGGAAAACCTATTCTCACATTGGCATTTTGCTGCTGAAGCATGAAAAGGTCAAATCTATAGAGAGTGAACACAGAGAACAAGTGTTATTATATTAACCACCTCAAAACACCCCAGCTACATGAACGTTTGCGAAGCCTCTCTCCAATTAAACTACTGTCACTGCATTATCTTTGTTGTTGTTGTTTCCCTGAATGCTCTCAATGCTGAGACAAGGCCTCTCACATGCGTTATATTTGTAAAAGGCAGAAGTAACGTAACATCAGCACTTTGCAGCGATGAAGCAGATTTTTTTTAAATAGTGGTTTCTGCCAAAATGTGGTAATAAATTCCTCTTTCCCCTCCCCCTGCCCCCAATATGAAAATCAGAAGTTAGTAGCAACAGTGATTTGTACATAAGACTTTCTAATCATAACCATGATTATAAATCTTGACTTAAAGATTTCATGACTGTAGGAATTAATATTCTTTGGGTCTTTCGGTAAAGCCACGTAGATAGGTTAAAAGAAAATAACAGAAAATAACAAAAAATAACAAAAAACTACGACGTTTCGATCGCAACACAAGCGTTTGTCATCAGGATGTGTTGCGGTCGAAACGTCGTAGTTTTTTGTTATTTTATTTTAACCTATCTACGTGACTTTACCGAAAGACCCAAAGAATACCATTATTCTACATGTTAAAAAAGGTTGTTAAACGTGAGAAAATGCACTCTTTTAGTTAGCCTCTTTTTTGTTTGCATGTTTGCAAACTGCAAATTGTGTGTGAGTTACCCAAGACCAAGAAAGGGGCCCCCCCACCTTTGGGTAGATTTGGAGAGACCAAGGGCACCTCAAGACACAAACTCTCCACAACAGCCCTGGCAGTGCCGTTCGGCTCCGAGAGGTACAACCCCAACGGGCCTTGTGTGTGGTGGCTTCACCTCGAGACACAAACTCTCCACAACAACCTTGGCAGTCATCTTCTTGGTTCTTTCGGTAAAGTCACGTAGAAGGGATAATAATAAAATAATAAAAATATAACATAATACAATGATTCTCACGACGTTTCGGCCACAACGCAAGCAGCCGTCCTCAGGTGGAGAACAGGTCTGTCGAGGACGGCTGCTTGCGTTGTGGCCGAAACGTCGTGAGAATCATAATATAATGTTTTATTTTTATTTTTTTATTATTTCCCTTCTACGTAACTTTACCGAAAGAACCAAGAAGATGAATCCCTGCAGTCACGAAAGCTTTAAATCGAAACGTTCGGCTCCGAGAGGTACAACAGCGTGGCTCGTGGCGGCACAACGACGACGCCGTCAAATTGGGCCGGGCGCGCGCTCAGGGGTGGCGGCGGCGGTTTGGCCGTACAATTCGAAATATTTCAGTTTTCCTGCGCTCAGCTGGATGCCAAATAAACGAGGAGAAAGACGACGGCTACATTGTCACTTTTCACGTTCAATAATACTCCCGAGAGCCTCGGTAAATCGGCTTGCGTTTCAAAGAATGTGGAAAACAATAAAAAAGAGACAACTGCAACGGTTTAAGCTGCAGAAATGTTGATGTGACGCTATGGACATCCGAGTCTTCTTGAGATGGGGGGGGGGGCGGGGAAACAGACTGCATCCGTCAACAATAAGCCCTGCGACAGGATCTCCGGCACATGCACACCTGTTTGCCATTACAATCCGTCTCAGCCGTCTACTGCCACAGTCTGACAAATCGTCGTCGTCTGCCTGACCATTGTTTTTTTGTTTTTATCGCGGCTGTTGTCCAGCTGTTCGACCATTCTGGGAAAACCCGTGATACGCGCCCGTGCGATCTTCCCATCGAGGGAAATCTGTGTTTTTGTGGCACAAGATTCACGAAGAACAAAGCGTGCGCCGGGCTCCTGTGCCCCCTCCCATTGTCACCTTGCGCGGATTATCAACAAACGGTGCACTGTCGTGTCGTGGATCAAGGCTTTAACGAGCAGACAGAGCGAGTCTCAATGTTACCGGGGCGCGGTGACTCATTCTTACTGTGACAACGTGCGCGTACATCGCTAAAGGTTATTTTTTTATCCAGGCAGCGTAACTGCACATGGCTTAGGCAAAGCCGGCAGTGATAATACAGTGTAATTTAAAACAGACCGACTGACTATCCCTGAGGAGCGCACTGACCGGCTCTTATTCGTTTATTGAACAGTTTTTTTTTGTGGGTCGCGTTTTTTACTTTCCCCGTGCGTGAGTGTTTCAAATCAGTGGCCTATTGACTTTTAAAATTGAATAAAAACCTCGATCTCCGGCGTCACGCAAAGCACTGTGGGGCAATCGGCGGTGGGAGTTGTGGGTAAAAATGTCCGTTCCAAGCCCACGCTGCGGACATACCCGGTGTGCGTCGGGGTCGAAGGTGAACTCGGCGCGGACGCCATTGTTCTCCGGGCTTCGGTAGTCGAAGAGAGAGCCGCTCATGTACGTGGGGCCCTTGCTGCTGAGGCTCTCGCCACAGCACAAGAAACAGCCATCCTGGTGCGGGGGAGAAATGAGAGGCGCGAGCAAAAGGCCGCATGTCATCATCATCATCATCACGGTGGCTAGGAGATGTTAACTGCCTCGCCTGGTGTGCAGGAGGTCGTGGGTTCGATCCCGACCCTGATGATACCTGCTGTGTATTTGGAGTTTCCGTGTCTCTCTCTCTCTCTCATCATCATCATCACGGTGGCTAGGAGATGTTAACTGCCTCGCCTGGTATGCAGGAGGTCGTGGGTTCGATCCCGACCCTGATGATACCTGCTGTGTATTTGGAGTTTGCGTGTCTCTCTCTCTCTCTCTCATCATCATCATCATCACGGTGGCTAGGAGATGTTTACTGCCTCGCCTGGTATGCAGGAGGTCGTGGGTTCGATCCCGACCTTGACGCCTGCTGCTGTGTATTTGGAGTTTAGATGTTCTCCCCGTTGATGTGTGATTTTTTCTCTAGGTGCTCCGATTATTCCCTCATTTAGAAGCAAAGTGCGTTTAGAGTATTTGGCTGCTATAAATTTCCACGTGATAAGCAACTTCGTTGAGCTATCATTTGTGGTCCGATCACTTTTGAAAAAGAGCTATATAGCTCAGTGGGCCTTACCTGGTAAAAGAAAAAAAGCTTTAGTTTAATTTATTTTGCCACGCCAAACACGCCGGGCAAATCCGCATATTTTTCTCTCTCCGATGTGTTTTCGGCTGGTACCGGGTGTAATTCGGCACAAAGTATAACGTTTCTCCCCACTTATCCGGGTGCTTCTTTACCAACTGCTTACAGTTCCATGTGCGGGGAGTGAAACATCGGACAAGAGGAGGTACGTCCGGACAGACACATCGACGAGCTGTACAGCGGAACCGCAAAAAAAAACTACGCAGTAGAAGTCTTCATTAGCGTCCGCAAAAATGAGCTGGCAAACGATGTCACTGAGCTGCCCAATAGCGGAAGGCAACTTGGCGAGTGGAAAGAGGGAGGGAGACATTTAGGCAACAAAAGCAAAAATAAACACCAATAAAAAAAGATATTCCCTCAAATAGAAAGATGAACAAAAACAATTAGTTGAAACAACCACACGTCAATCAACTGCTGGAAGACCTCCCTCCCATGCTGTGTGAGTCATGGGGGTTGTTTGACCATACTTCACCACGTTGGTAAATGTGGGTCAGTGAAGGAGGGGGGGGGCTCACCGAGGACCAGTTTGGTCTGAAATATCACTGCACGGTGATCATTATTCTTGAGTGGTGTTCAAACTCAGCTCACAGGGCTCATAGCACAACAGACTAGCAACTGAGCCTACGCTTCCCCCACCACTATGAGATACAAACTAACAAAATTAACAGTTAATATTTTACGAAACACGAATCTAGCCTGTGTCCTGGACTTTTTGACGCAACGTTAGAACGTTCATTAGCGAGAAGAAAGCCTTTTAAATTACAATCAGGAGTGTTCCACTTATATCAGTGGCATTGCGCTGGACGTGATGGCGCAGCGAAATTACTGGAGCACTGTTGACTGTCAATTTAAAAGCTTTTTTCTGACTAATGAGCTTAAAAAATGTGTTATCGGTCAACCCAGGACACAGAGCCTCGGTACGTATTCACGAGACCAAGATATATTTCTTTGTTCACATTATGTTCGGTCAATTCCCTCTCTTTACATAAAGAGGCTTCAAACTGTTGTCTGAAGGTTCGAGAGATACACAAAGCTTGTGTTGTCTCCGAAACGTCGTGATTTATTATTTTATTTCTATTATTATTTATATTATTTTTATTATTTACTTATTTTTTTACGTACGTGATTTTACCGAACAAAACCTAAGAGTATACACAGCCTAGGTGCATATCCTCGTTGGACTGGTTTATCTTCCATGATGCTTGAGGAATTCCGTTTGCCTTCCGATCTGCCGTACGAAACTCCTCCAGCAGGTGAAAAGTAACTGAAGCAAATGCATTGTCTTCAGTGACGTCGCTGACCCATCATCTTTGAGAGTGGAGCGATGGGCACAGTCGTTGGCGTATCGCACTATGAACCCAGCCATATTACTGGTCACAACTAGAAATATAACTCAGGTCGCACCGGGGCCGCCCTTCACCAACACGGTGTGGAGATCCCTTCATCCAGCAGTGGCTTTGACACACGGCCGTGACTCCCTTCGAAAGTCTCATCAATAAATGGGTTCAAAAACCCAGCCGACAAGAGGATGGAGCCAGGAGCTCGCCCCGTGTCCGGCACTTACTCCACCATCTTCTCTGCAGTCCTCAAAGTCTCGGACTCCCAGAATGCTGTGCTGGGACGAGGCTCGGCACTTGACGAAGCCGAACTGGCAGTTGAAGAAGGGCTCGCCCTGCATGAGAGCCTAAGGGCGGGCGCCGGGAGACACACACGCACAACGGGTACAGCGCGCGAACGCCGAGACTCCGCCAGCAGGCAAACACTCCGCACGGAACGTGCTGGTTGCCTCCTGTATGACGTGAATCTGACTCAACGTTCAAGAGGATGCCCAGGCTTGAATAAATCACAAGCTGAACTACATATTTACGCAAGACGGAGATAAAAATCTCCCGTCTAGCATTAACAGACTGTAGGGGCAAGTGCTGTTAGCGAGCACCTATGAAGGCCGGCACGGCACACGAGGGGGTGGGTGGCCAACACCACTTCCCGGCCGTCTTTGTCTCCGAAGTGCCGATACTCACACACTGCACCAGGTACTTATTTGAGGCCTGAGTCGACCTAGGGGAGGGCCACCTCCAATTAGCATGGTTGGCTACGTATGGTGCGAAAGAATTTCAACATACATACATACACATACAAGATGTAATTTTCCACTAATGTTGACTTCGAGCATGAATGTAAATTTAGGTCGCTAACCCATCACCCTACACACACACAAACCATGCACGGTCTACTTACATCAACAGCCGTTCCCTCCTGCTCCCAGACTAAAATGGGCTTGAATATCACTTTGTTGGAGCCGTAAAAAGCACTCTCCGGGTGGCTCTCGGTCACCTGGGGAAACCGAGAGAACACGAAACAAACATTTGTCGTACGCTTTGTCCATGCAAGAGCGCTACGAATCGTAAAGTACTGGCAGGCAATGGCCGCAAGCCTCCGACCTCGCACCTTGAATGTGACAGTAAGACGGGTCATGTAGAACCCGACCGAGAGGATGGGATCTCTGGGCGGGCGATGACCCCGTCGGTTTGCTTTGCGGCCCTCCTCGGGGTCTCCGCCCACGTCCAGCTCCTCCCCTTCCTCCTCGTCGCCCTCGTCGCCCTCCGCAGCCTCGCGCTGCTCATCTTCGTACGCCACGATGGCCGGCACAAACGACCAGGCCCAGGAGACCCAGCCCTCGTTGTCGTCCGGCCGCTGGGAGGAGTAGTACAGGCTGCTGTCCTCCGGGTCCATGCCGTCCTCTGTTCGGGAGAAACGTCCTCGATCGTTAACGTGACCGCCAATGGGTCGACCATCGACCGAATCAGGAACGGGCATGGCCAACGCGGCCACTCGATGTACAGAACGGACGCATCAAAGATTGGGCGTCCTGCGAGTGCGGCCACAAGTCCCAAATCGTCGACCGCATCGTAAGCAACTCTGCCGCGGCCGCCGCCGCTGCTGCTGCCTTCACCCCATTAAAAGAGAAATGGACGAGATCCACACTCTGCTTCTGAACAATTGAGTGGATAACAAATACAAAAAAACTGCATCTCGAATCTGTCCTTATTAATCCAAAGTAAAGAAGAATGCGAGCGTATGCCTTGCGAGCGTAGAGCGGGATGGAGAACAGATTTGTTTAGTTAGCCAGGAGCTCACGGCGCTTCGCCACTGCACGAACGACGACCTGGTCGGTGTTTTCCACGATCGCACACTGGGCCTTCTGTTAACTTTCACTTGTGAAGGTAGCATGGGGACAGATATGTCGTAGGCTGAGTGGATTCGATTTGACGTGGGGACCACGGTGATCGAGGCAGGCTGAAATCCCGCGGGGTTCTTTAGCAGGATCGGCCGATTTGTATGGCCAGGGTAACCGGCTCTGCTCGACAGCGACTTGAGTAACATTATGAGACTGATCGGCAAATGTCGGAGATCGGTGTGGACGGGCAGATTTGGACTGGCTCGGATGGGCTCCTAATCGTGGAGAGTTCTTCGCTACCTGCAGATCTCAGGAGGAGGAGCGATGTTTGACATCATACTGCACGGTGTATCTGTACCAATAATAATAATAATGACAAACTCAGTTTTCTATGCCACAATATTCACAAGGCGTCTAAACGTTTACACAAAGCTTACGTTTCGGAGAAAGCCTATATACCAATTGCTACTCTTCAGGAAATATAAACAGGAATATAAATCATCTTTATTTAGCCAGGAAAGACTAATCATCTTGAAGAATACAAACCCAAAAACTAACCCAAACACCTCTATGATGGAAAATACAAAAGTAAAGAGCGGTAACTCCTTGTTTCCGAGTCGCACCAAATATATTCTTGGTTCTTTCGGTAAAGTCACGTAGAAGGGAAATAAGGAAATAATAAAAATACAACTTAATCAAATGAAATTCTCACGACGTTTCGGTCACAACGCAATCAACTGTGTCCTCAGGACGGCTGCTTGCGTTGTGACCGAAACGTAATTATTTTATTATTTCCCTTCTACGTGACTTTACCGAAAGAAGCAAGAATATGAATCCCTGCAGTCACGAAAGCTTTAAATCGAAATCGCACCAAATGCTTTGTGCACCCCTGCATTACGGTGGCGCTAAATTAATCACACGCCAGCGCACTCGCCATTAATTTCATAGCAGTGGAAGGTGTAAACGTCGCCGCAAGTAACTGTGTTTTCCTCGAGTGTTCCCTCCAATAAAAATGAGCTTGTTTTAAAAAGTAATAAATAAATAGGCCAAACAAAACGAGCACGGTATTTACACACGGGCGTTTTCGCAGAACTGGCAGTGTCAAATACACTAGAAGCGCATTATAAACATATCAGCGATGATGTCTGGATTCTCCCCCCCCTCCCTCCCTGGTGTTTCTCGCACGCCCTTAGAATGGGGGCAGGCGTGGCGCCGTCGCGAATCTCTTTACGTGCAGCACACGTTTCGAGCTCTCTGAAGCGTCCTGCAATGGACACGATCGCAATTTTACTTAATAAACACAGGCACGGAGCCAGCTGTATAATATTGGATGGGGGTGGGGGTATAGTGCCCATCGATTGGCCCAAACTCGGCCTCACGCAGAGGTGAAACTCATTTAAAAACTGCAGCATGGCAGATTTAAGCCAGATGTAGGGCTGGGTGTTTGAGGTACTTTACTTAAAGCACATTAATTAAACAATGACTAATGCACGTAAAACACAAACCCTGGCGCTTAAATAACGCATCGTGCCAGAATTCAAACGTCAATATACTCATAAGCTATCGCATATTTTAACATGTTGCGGACCCTCGTACCGATACAAACCACAGCTTTTCCATTAATCAGTTTCCATTTATTTAACCATAATGAAAGACGTTTGCAAAAAAACTGTAGTTACATTTTCCCAAGAGTGCACAAAAATGTACTTTGTGTCAAATCAATCTGATAGCACTTGCCACAGCTACATTAAGCATAATAAAATTATTGTATCAATGCTACGTCGTTATTTGTTCGTAATTAACAGACATTCTCACTTCATATATATTTTTCACGTTCAAAGTAGTAGTTATTAAAGGGACACCGACCGTGACTGAAGGAATTCATATTATTGTATCATATTCTTTGGGTCTGTCGGTAAAGTCACGTGGATAGGTTAAAATAAAATAACAAAATCATATTTTCTTTGAACGCATCAACGTGGCTTTACCGAAAGACCCAACGAATATGGACACCGTTATTTTGCTTTGCATTGTCATCTAATGATGCTGTCCAGTCTTTTGCTTTTTTACTCATACTGTACTTCAAATGTAAACAATAACCAGCCATTACCTAGAATATATTATAATATTCACATGTTTCGCTCACTTAGCCTAGTTAACCAATTATATCACATTATCAATCACCTCTCTCCGCCCTCAAACACTCAACAAGTTGCAAATCTCAAATATGAAACAACTCACAATCATAATTTCCAGGATTTGTCAATAAAATTATGGATCGAGATTCTCTCCACACCTTGTCAGTCGTGGGGGTTGTTTGACCATACTTCACCATACGGGTCAATGTGGGTTGGTGAAGGGAGGGTTTCGGACCGGCTGGGAATTCAACTCCGGTCAGCCAGGTACACAGCACAGCGCACCTCACTATCCACTGCACTGATGCCCCCACCACATACTCCCCACAAATACTCCTCATCGGTAAAACTGCTTATTTTTTCACGACGCATTAAGAATACAGGATAAGGAAACGGCAGATGACAGCGATGAAGGTGGCGATGATGGCACGGGTGAGGATGGACGATGATTAAAACCCCTATGTTGAAGCGCAAGAGTTCAAAAGTGCAAAAGACAGCAAAAATCCGGTGCCCAAGCAGGTTGGTCTAGTAACGCAATGTGTCCACATGGGTGGCGTGGTGGCGTAGTGGTGAGTTCACTGCGCGATGAACCTGGCGACCTTGAGTTCGATTCCTGACCAAAGATAACATCAGCGGTGAAATATACGAAAGGCTCCTGAGCATTCTCTCGGTCGACTCAGCCCTTAGAAGAAGAGCACCTGGTGCGGTGTATAAACATCGGCACTGGGGAGGCCAAAGCAGCCGAGCGTGGTGCTGGCCACAGCTGCCCCTGCGTACCCTGTGCCGGCCTTTAATAGATGCTCGCAACCTGCACTTGCCCCGACATGCAGGGAATCTTTATCTTTGTGATATGTGTGTGTGTACGTGCTAGGCTGTCGGGAATCATTATCTTTGCGTGTGTGTACGTGCGCACGTACGTACGCACGCATGCGAGTCTGTATGTTTCCGGCACCCCTCGCAAAGCCCACGTTTTTCCAGCGAGATCTCAATATTTAACAAATTCCTCCCTCCCCCCACCCCCGGTGGCGCTAAGCTTGCCCCTGCCCACATAATCCCCCGCGCTCCGCTCAGGCCCTCGCGGCCTGCCCGCCGTGCATTCCTGCGACGTGAAATCAGAAAGCTGGCCTGGGGTCACAAAGCCCATCTTTCACCACGTCGGCCCTGTCAGCGGCGCGTCTGCTCAATTTTTCCACGGGACCCACGAACGCCCGGCGCGTTGCTGCGTATCCGACGATGGCCTTCGTTGGCAAGAGCGCCGCGGACTGCGCACCAAAAAACAGCATTGTAACAGTGTTTACATTTTTTTTTTTAAGAACATGTTACTTTACGGAACAAACAAATGAGAAAGATCCCCCCCCCCGTATAGCCTTAACAGACTGTTGGGGCAAGTGCTGTTAGCGAGCAGCACCTATAAAGGTCCAGCACGGCACACAAGGGGGTGGGTGGCCAACACCACGCCCGGCCACCTTTGTCTCCTTTGTGGCGATGTTTACACACGGTACCAGGTAATCATTTGAGGCTGAGTCGACCTTGGAGCGGCCCAGGACATAAGGAAAAGACACATACATACAAGCGTACATAGAGCGGTGAATACTCTTTTGAGAATGACACACTTCAAAAGTTGGCACTGGCTGTGTGTTAAGCGAACCATGAAGACTCGCTTTCATACGCCATACATTCAACAGAATCAGTGTAGTCTGTTGGAAATTAATGCTGAACGCGCGTGCATTTACATTCCCCCAGCCAATCCGTGCGCTCATGACTTCCCGTTCGAGTCAAGGGCTCAAAGAGACTTCTCTCTTTCGTCCTCTGCCTAGGAAGGGCCATCTCTGTCTCTTCACGAAATGAGCATGGCCCACCCGCTTCGGGGAAAGCTCCTTGAGAGACGCGGCCCACACAAACACACACACGCGCGCACGCATAGGGACGCCACGTGGGTTTTTAATCAAAACTTATTCGAGCCGCGCCTCGTGCACCGCCGCGGCATGTGAACCGAGGACGGTGTCCGTCGTGTGAGAATGGGTGGGCGGCGGGGGGGGGGGGGCGGCACGGGGCTCGAGTGCGCGTCAAGAGATGGCAAACGGGATTAAAACATCGACGTTCTCAAAAAGGTGTCAGTTTTGTTGCCAGATAGAAGGGTAAAAAAACAATTATCATATTTTTTATTGGCAAATGAGGTTCCAATGGTTCTCAAAGTTTCCGCGCGGGGGTCGCGGCCTACTCGTTCCCGAGCCAAGGAGCACAACTTGGTTATCGAACACTCGCGGGCCACACATTAATCCTCCGGCGAAGACACGGGGATGAAAAGGACGGGCGAAAAACATCAACTCTTGAAATCTCTCCCCATGCAAATAAATGACTTTTTTTTTCCATCCGATAGCGTGCCTATCAGATGCAGCGATGGTGTGAGAGGCTTTTCTCTGGATGACAAATAGCCCAGAGAGCTGTCCTCCCGACTGCAAAAACAATACGATAAATTTTTCTCAGCCTGATTTGAAGAAACCGCCCAACGGCTTAGCAGCAACAGACATCAATGATGACATAAACATAACAAAAATTCAGCCCATTGCTATGCAAGTTAGGAGCAAAGGGGTGACGCGGTGGTTAGAAGCGCACTGTGCTTTGAACCTGGCCTCTCTGGTTCAATTCACGGCCACAGCTAACCGAGTGATTCGCCAATCCACGCTGACCAGCGTGGTGAAGTATGGCTAAGCAACACGGCACAGGGAGACTTTCATACGGCAGTGGATTGACAAAGGGCTGTCAAGAGATGCAAGTCACGTGGGTGACGTTAGCACTCGCACTGCTGTTTTCCCCTCTCCAACACTTTATGCAGGAATCCATACTCTTTGGTTCTAAATGTGGAGGGGAAAAACCAGAAAACCCAGAGAAAAATCCACGCGACCACGGGGGCAACATGCAAACTCCAAATATATAATGGGCGTCAGGGACAGGATTGAACCAACAACCCCCTCTATACCAGAGGAGATAGAGAACATCTCGCCACCACGGCGCCCCAGCTGACAATTGAAAAACATCAATTCTTAAACACGCATTTCAACACGTGTATCGTGGGCTTAGGAATCGATGTCAATGGACGTGTCCTTACGCTCTGAGTTCACATACAATGTGGGTCACTGCTCACACGAGCAGTCGGGTGGCTCTGAGCCAGGGAACAAACATTCCACTTTCCTATGGCGAAAGCCAGTCTATCCTTCCGTGAACCGCTGTCTGCTGACTTCGCATAAAAGGGTATTCATTTTGTGGTTGAAGGTTAAGTTCTGGCCTGACGCGCTGAGCTACAGCAAAGCCAGAGATGCGACGGCCACCTCAACGTTACGATTAAATAAATGGTGGGGAACATCTTCATTACCGAGGGCTGAATCGGGTCTTTCAAATACCATTGGCGGGCCACACGTTACCACTTAGCGTTATCCAATAATAACCCAAACATTATGAGTACTCGCCTTAACTAAAAATGCTAAAATAAAATGGACGGTGTTGCCGGAGTCGAATAAATTTCACTCCCAAGAGCCGATAAGCGCGGCTAAGATGCTTGCTTGCAGTGACGGACAAATGCAATTAGCAGGCCCACTTTAAGCGGTGGGCCTCGTGTGGCGGCGACAGCATGAACGAAATTAAGTCGCGCGGCCGGGTGAAATGAAGTCATGGGCCACATCTGGCCCACGAGCTGTACGTCCTCCAGGCCCCCCTGGGGCTACAGGAAGTAGCAGCAGTACCTGTCATGGGCACTTCAGGAGTGTGCGGGGGGGCCTCGTCTCCCGCCTGGGCGATGTCCGGCTGCCCGATCTCGCCGTAGTAGAGAGCGATCCCCAGCTGGATGAGGCGGATGAACATGGGAAGCTGCTGGTCGGTGACGGAGAGAGTGAGGCTCTCGCACAGCGTGTGAATCTGCGGGGAAGGGGGCACGTGTAACGTTAGACCTGCCCCCCCCTCCCTTCTCGTGACCCGCTCCTCGAAAAAATACGCGCCGAACGCGACCCAACGCCGGCGCACGCCGCTGCGACAAGGCTTCTCTCGCGCCGTGATGGACAGGATCGGTCTCCAGCACAGCGTGCGGCTCTGTGGGAAAGCGATAGGGTTACAGAAATACCCGCGCTCTCCGTCCAACGCCGAGCCCAATGTTCGCCGGGCTGCCGAAAGGGAACAGTGTCAAATAGCCGCGTGTCTGGAAGAGAATTAATCTCAACGTATATTCCCACCATACATCAACAGTTATGGAGATGTTTAGGTCCTGGTAATTTTGAATGAATTATTAGCAACGGAGACATGAGAAAGGTTTACATTTCCTCGTAGAAATTGGCCATATCAGGTGAGGTTTTTTTGTTGCATAAAAAATATAGTATTGCCGTACTCCCCAAACTAATTATAAATCTCAGGTGATTAATCATCCCACTTTACAGACATACCAGTGGAGGAAATTTCACGTGAAGCAAAGCTATAAACGCCTTGAGTGTGCTTTTCTTGCATCCGTATGCACGTGTGTGGTCTGAGCCACCCTAGGGTCAACTCAGACTTAAATGGGTGCCTGTTACAGCCTGCAAAATTCAACAACCTGGAGGCGAAAGGCGGCCGGGCATGGTTTGCCACACATGGTTGGCAACTCCTAGTGTGCTCTGCTAGCCTATATAGGTGCTTGCTAACGGCACAAGATTATAAGGATAAACGGTGGAGGGGGGGGAGGCATTAAATCATCCCACTTGTATATGCAGGGAATCCATAAAAGAATAATCCACTCTTAGACAGCGGCTTGAACTGTGTGGGTGAATGTTGGGATTACGTGACAGGTAATGTGCGTGTGCCAAAGAAAGAAAAACGCCGGAGTGATCTTCAACAGCACAAACGATTTATGATGCTGCTACGTTGGTGTTCCAAGCACAAATAACAAAATAAGAGCCAACGCATTCGTCAATTACACCCGTGCCCTTAACACTAAAAACCTCTGCTAATAGGTGGCGTTTCGGGAAATGGAGATTTCTCTTACGTGCTATGTACAAGGACCATTGGCCCAAACGTCACCCGTATGATTTCTCTTTTCAATGCCACGGTGTTTTTGAGAAATGCGTTCATCTTTTCTCAACATCAATAACAGAAGGTTTGGGAACAATCACACGTGAGATTGTTAGCCAACACCTGGCACTTTCCCTCAAATCTCGAAATGACATACATCACCAGTGCCACAACGGACACGAAGAGGTTTAGAGGGATGAGACTTGTACGCTGTACTTTTCATTGTACTTTTGTTTCCGTACCGTACGTAGCCAACCATACTAATCGGAGGTACGATGCTATCGAAACTGCTCTGTAATTATAATTGTACAACAACGGATTATGCCTTTATGGACACGATATATTATATAATTTCAAATAATGTTTAAAAAAACACAATCTAACAAAATCTGTTCGGATAGACGTTTTCAGGTATTCATGGTGTCACCGTCACAAGCGAATGCATTTGAACTATTCCAGGAAACCAATTAAAATGGGAGTGTTATTTTTTTTAAATGACTTTCTTGTGGCCACACTTCGTTTGCAATCCACAGCGGGTTTAATCAGACGGACAGAAACAGCCACACGTGCCAAGGGTAGCCAAAACAGCAGCTCCCCCAGTCAGACTATCTTTGTAAACGACTTTGAAAAAATGTGCTCTGACAGGAGGATTGGGATGTTACAAGTCAACTTGTTTTCATTACGACTCACGTTCCATATTGATAAAAAAAAACTGTAAAATTAAATTCCACCGTGTTGTGCAATGCTTTCACTGTCTGGTAAAGGCGCAATGATGTATAGATTAATAAATTAATATAAATCCTAAAGCACGCTGGCGCACGTTCAATCGCATGTGGAAGAATCGGTTCTTTTCTATTTGTAAATGTTGTGTGTAGGGTTGTTAAACGATAACAGGCAAACTGGTAACCGTTTCCAGAATCGATTACCGCTCCTGAAAGCAAGGAACCAGCACCCAATTCTAATGGCATTTTAGTAACAAATGCACCGACTGACAACGTGTGAACTTACAAACGGCACGGCGCTGTAAATAATTTCTCAAACTTGATTTGGCGCTTTCGTGACTGCAGGAATTACTCTTTGGTTCTTTTGGTAAAGTCACGTGGAAAGAGAAAATAATAAATGAAATAATAGCATACGACGTTTCGATTGCAACACAAGCAATCATCATCAGGTACAAATGAAAGAGAAAACAAAACCTAGTAGACTTAGAAATATAATGTAATACAACACAGATAGTCGGCTAGCATAACAGTCAACACCCTACCTGGTTGATTACGTTCTTTCAAGGATTGCTAAATTTAAAATTGCTAAATTTAGCAATCTTTGGAAGAACGTAATTTAGCAAAACTGACACCTTTATACCAGTTGAAAGGGTAAAAACCTATCATTATATTTTACCACTGGTAAAGGAGGTCTCATAGTGTAAATGCTTACCCCGAGCTCTCAATACTCCGAAAGTGCGCTGTTTTTGAGTTGTACGCCTTTTGGCGTCATCTGGTCCAACACCAATGGAGACTAGGCTCTAAGAAAAGCTGTCTCGGGTGTGGACCAATCAACTTCAAGGACAGTGCATATCATTATCAGAGTTGTTTCTTTTTGTTTGCAATTTGACTGCTTGTGTTGTGGTTATTGCAAACATGATGCCTTGTATAAAGGTGTCAGTTTTTGTACCAGTTGAAAGGGTAAACACCTATCGCTGTGAGAATCTAATCGAACTTGCGATGTCTGGATTGCGAGTCCATTGAGCTCGTCATTACATCACGTCAGCCCCCTTCATGACCAATGGCACAACAGATCGACCAGTAAGCTCAAAGACACGTGTGTGGTGACTGCATCTACGAGCATTGCGATAGAGGACTTAGCATACCTAGAAACTGCTGACACAAGAAATACTGAAATGTCAAATTTGTTAAATGGTCCTTCAAACTGCGACGCCTTGAATAAACATTTACTTAAAAATTATCTTTTCAATATACTGATGTGTGTGGTCGTATTATATTACCGGTACTTAGGGGCGAGGGGGAAAAAAAGAAGAAAAAAAATATATAAGAAAATAACGACATTCAGAAGCAGAGGCAACTCAATTACCTTGTGTACGGCTCAACGTCAGCATTTACATTTTCTACTCTGAGAACCCCAAATAGCAGCAGTGTCAAATTACTCAACCCATCCGCAGACAGCGCCTCTCAATGTCTCGTGAACGTAATGCGTTCAACTGGTGACAAGTGACCTCTGCAAAAACACAGCGCAATGCTCTGCAGAAAAAAAAAATCTGTTATCCGGCACTTTTCCATCCGGAATGCTCTATTAACCGGCATCGGCTATAGCCGGCAATGCAAATCTCCCTTCGCTTATCCGGTATAATTCCGACAGCCATCCAGCATCTTGCCATGCGCTTATCATAGATCTGTGTTGAGAGAAGCTTCAGGAGACTGTAGAGTGGTGGTACCCACGGCACCCGTACATACAGCAGTGCACAACTGTGTACAGGTAGTCCTCCACTTATGATGGAGATGCGTTACGATGACCCCACCGCAAGTCAAAAATATCGTAAGTCGAAGATGGCCTAGCCTACCCAGGAGTCTTAAAGAATGGTGATAATCTTCTTGGTTCTTTCGGTAAAGTCAAGTAGAAGGGAAATAATAAAATAGTAAAAATAAAACATAATAAAATAATTCTCACGACGTTTCGGCCACAACGCAAGCAGCCGTCCTCTACGTGACTATACCGAAAGAACCAAGAAGATGAATCCTGCAGTCACGAAAGCTTTAAATCGAAATGGTGATAATTTAGCAAAACAGAGCAATTTACAGAACCGTACTGTATAAACTATATACTGTATGTATTATTAATTACAATACTGTAATGCACATTAGAATGTAAAGTAAACAAACAAGGTAAATTCTTAGCCTACCTATATGAACTGCAATTTAATAGAAAGATTTTTTCAGGAAACAATCTTATCTGCTATAAAAATAAAATTAACATGCATTGAACGTATCGTATCGTGGTAACCCTAAAATGAAATCTCTAAAGCTACGTATCATACATGCATTGAACGTATCGTAACGTATCATATTGTACTGTACTCACCTGCTGCGCGAAATTTAAAATATTTTACAATTTTGTCGTATCGCTATCGCCATCGTAAAATCTAAATATCGTAACTCGGGGACTATCTGTCCTGTATAAACGACCCTACTCCTCTCTACAATCAACTTTGAATGCTCCAAATTGACCGGTGAGTACCTCTGCAAAAGTGTACATTATTTCTTATATCTTAGTTAAAATGTAATGCGCGGTTTCTTTCTAGAAATGTTTTATGCGCTTGGAAAATTTTGTGAACCGCAAGTATAACTCTCAGATATAATTTCGGGTTTCTTTTTGGGATAGATCGCGGAAATATAAATGTGTAGTTAATCCAACACAGCCAATTAGTAAGGTATGTCACGTAAACAGAACATGACATTCGTTTCTTGTTCAGCACACCGGTGTGTTGGAAAGCAAATCCACAGCATTTACAATCTGAGTACGACGTTTCCCCAGTATTTACAACTAGCATCATCAGGCGATCAGCATATGAATGAATGAATGAACTTCTTTCGAACCGTACGTAGCCAACCATGCTAATCGGAGGTGCTAAATGTTTGATTACCCGGTACCCCCCCCCCCCCCATTCCCCATGGATGCCGGTTAACACAGATTTTGCTCGATAACGGTCAAAACGTCAAGAGGGTAGGCGGTCTCATGGACAAGCAGCGTACGCGACGCAAAATAGGATGACAGCCCACCGAGTTAACGTTGCCGTATTTGTAATGGAGCAAAAGTATTTTTTTGTATTTTACCAGGTAGGGCCCACTGAGGGCAGGATATTTTTCAAT